AGTCATGTCCGACTCTGTGTGACCCCAGAGACGGCAGCCCACCAGGCTCCCCCGTCCCTGGGATTCTCCAAGCAAGAACACTGGAGTGCGTTGCCATTTCCTTCTCCAAAGCATGAAAGTGAAAAGTGAAAGTGAAGTCGCTCAGTCCTATGTGACTCTTAGTGACCCCATGGACTGCAGCCCACCAGGTTCCTCTGTCCATGGGATTTTCTAGGCAAGAACATTGGAGTGGGGTGCCATTGCCTTCTCAGATTTTCTAATGAGCCAGTTCTTTCCATCAGGTGGCCACCATATTGTAGCTTCAGCTTCAGCATCAGTCCTTCCAGTGAATATTCAGACTGATTTCCTTTAGGATTGACTGGTTTGATCTCTTTGCTGTCCAAGGGACTCTCAAGAGTCTTCTCCAACACCACAGTTCAAAAGCATCAATTCTTCGGCACTCAGCTTTCTTTATGGTCCAGCTCTCACTCCATACGTGACTACGGGAAAAGCCATAGCTTTGACTATATGGACCTTTGTTGGCAACATAATGTCTCTGCTTTTTAATATGTTGTCTAGGTTGGTCATAGCTTTTCTTCCAAGGAGCAAGTGTCTTAATTTCATGGGTGCAGTTACCATCTGCAGTGATTTTGGAGCCCAAGAAATAAAATCTGTCACTGTTTCCATTGTTTCCCCATCTATCTGCTATGAAGTGATGGGACTGGATGCCATGATCTTCATTTTTTGAATGTTGAATTTTAAGCCAGCTCATAATCCGGGAACTGAGATCAGAGAGGCTATACAATTCTTCCATGGTTAGTCATGATGATGTTCAAGAATAAATACTTATTATATGCCCAGTTCAGTTCAGTTCAGTCGCTCAGTCGTGTCCGACCTTGCGACCCCATGAATTGCAGCATGCGAGGCCTTCCTGTCCATCACCAGCTCCTGGGGTTTACTCAAACTCATGCCCATCGAGTCGGTGATGCCATCCAGCCATATCATCCTCTGTTGTCCCCTTCTCCTCCTGCCCCCAATCCCTCCCAGCATCAGGGTCTTTTCCAATGAGTCAACTTTTCGTGTAAGGTGGTCAAAGTATTGGAGTTTCAGCTTCAGCATCAGTCCTTCCAATGAACACCCAGGACTGATCTCCTTCAGGATGGACTGGTTGGATCTTCTTGCAGTCCAAGGGACTCTCAAGAGTCTTCCCCAACACCACAGTTCAAAAGCATAAATTTTTTGCACTCAGCTTTCTTCACAGTCCAACTCTCACATCCATACATGACCACTGGAAAAACCATAGCCTTGACTATGTTGGACCTTTGTTGGCAAAGTAATGTCTCTGCTTTTTAATATGCTATCTAGGTTGGTCATGACTTTCCTTCCAAGGAGTAAGTGTCTTTTAATTTCATGGCTGTAGTCACCATCTGCAGTGATTTTGGAGCCCCAAAAAATAAAGTCTGCCACTGTTTCCACTGTCTCCCCATCTATTTCCCATGAGGTGATGGGACCAGATGCCATGATCTTAGTTTTCTGAATGTTGAGCTTTAAGCCAACTTTTTCACTCTCCTCTTTCACTTTCATCAAGAGGCTTTTTAGTTTCTCTTCACTTTCTGCCATAAGGGTGGTGTCATCTGCATATCTGAGGTTATCGATATTTCTCCTGGCAATCTTGATTCCAGCTTCTGCTTCTTCCAGCCCAGAATTTCTCATGATGTACTCTGCGTAGAAGTTAAATAAGCAGGGTGACAATATACAGCCTTGAGGTACTCATATGCCCAGTCCTGTGCTAAATTCTCACATACATTATCTCATTTAAACCTTATTACCACCTGTGAGGTAAGTACTATTTCCCTTTTACAGATGAGCAAACTAAGGCTCACAGACATCAAGAGCTTGAAGAGTTGGTGAATGGTGCTGCTGCAATTGAATCCTAGGGTATTTGACTCCCAAGCCCATTTCTTCCAGTTCTACTGCTTTCAATCAGCAGCTGAGTTGTGGGACCCTGAGGATGGCTGTATACATGAAAGGTCCATTAGGGCTCTTGTGAAATGTTAGGTTCTCATCTCAGCCAGGCTTCTCTTAAGCTTATCTATGTCACAACTCCTTTTTTGCTTCATAATATATGTTCCTAAACTCTTAAAACATCAAGTCCTAGAGCTATGGGGGTGGCTAACAGAGCTGCCTGACAGCATAAGGTGATGTTGGTGAAGACATTTCAAAACTAGGTAAAAGAACTGGGTGAGATGGCAAGGTAAGCTATCTACATCTAGTTTGTGGGGGTTAGAAGCTGCCTTTCCTGTGGCAACTTATTGAATCAATTCTTGGTAAATACAAAGGGACCTCTGGCCCCAGCTAAATCCAATCTCATTTTAGAAAGAGGTTAAGGGCCAAAGATCCCACAGCAGGTGGGGGAATCCAGACCACATATGTCTGAATACTGATTTCCCAAGAGCAGTGGTTTTCAAAGTGAGCTCTCGAGATAGGCAGCCCCAGCTCTACTTGGGAACTTGTTAGAAATGTCCAGAATCAGAGACTTTGAGGGTAAGGATCAGCAGTCGGTTTTGACAAGCCTTCCACATCATTGTGATGCATGCTTGGGATGGAGAAGGACTGCAGAGTGTCTGCTGCATATTATAGGGCACATTGAAGGAAGAAGAGGGGAGATTTGTCATCCCCTCCAAAGCTCTTTCCCCTCTTTGCTTCCAGGAGAAGGGCTAAAAGGGCTCTATGTAACAACTCTCTGAGGTCCACAGAACACTGAGCTAGTTTTTAATTTTTAATTTATTTTTGGCTGCACTGGGTCTCCATTGCCTTGCTGAGGCTTTCTTTAGTTGCAGGGAGCAGGAGTTACTCAGTTGCAGTGCTGGGCTCAGTACTTGTGGTACATGAGCTTAGTTTCTCCAGGGCATGTGGCATCTTCCCCTATCTGGGATCAAACCTGTGACTACCTGCATTAGGCGGATTCTTAAACACTGGACCACCAGGGAAATTACTGAGATAGTTTTGACAGGGGAAGGGGACTTTGGAACAAATACTGGCCTGGGGTTGGCTGCGGGGGATTGGCAACCTGGGGGTACTCCTGGGTAGCAAGAAACTAGGCTCTGATTGGCTATCAGTGTGTGGAGGAGAAGGGCTGGGACCTGGGATCCCACGCCAGTCTCTCTCACCCCCTCCCCATCCCCCAACAGACAGAACAGCCAGGAAGCTAGAGAAGGCTCTTCTCCACACTGTCGCTCCAGAACCGGAGAGCCACGTGTGGGGGTGCTCAGAATCCTGCAGGGGATTCCGCAATGGCAGGAGACAGAAGGCCTGTGGAAGGATGACAGAGGTGTGCGGAAGGCACCTGTGTGCCCCTGCTGACGATTTTTTTTTTTCCTTTATGCTGAAGGGTCGATAATATCTGAGGTGAGGAAATAATGGAAATTGATTCGCACTTTAGCAGTATCTCTGGTAGCTGCATCACACAGATGGACGGCCGGAAGCTTGAGACTTGTGGGCAGGCGGTTATCACTCTAAGTCCGAGTGGGATATGAAGGCTGTGTGGGGGGCGGGAACAGATTTAAAGAGAATATGGATTGGGATATTGGGATGCGAGGAGAGGGGAGGCGAGGGAGAAGATAGCATCCATTGGGACTGAGTTGTTAATTTAGTGCCAACGCCCTGGCTTCTTAAGTTCTGGAACCAGTCTGAGATTCTGAGCGCTGGATCATTCCTAACTCCTCCCCCCTCCCCCCGCCCTTTCCCTTCTAATTCAAGAAGCCTGCACTTTGGCGTCGTGCAAATGAGAGTTCAAAAGTCCCGCTGAAATTTAACTTCCACAGAGTAGGAGTCCATCTCTGGTTCGCAGCTATATGCTGAGGGACTAAGAGTGTCTGGCACATAGTAGGCGCTCAATAAACCTTTGTTGAATAAATGACTCAATGAATGAAGGGCCGTACTCCAAGCCTCCTTTTTCCTCCGTTGAGCATGCCCTACCTGGAACGGTTGTTGCTTCAAGGAAATAGCCTAGCTCCTAAACTGACGCACAGTAGGCACTCAACAAATTGTATTTTTCCTTCCTTTCCACAGGAGACCGGCTCCCTACCCTACCGCAAAAGAGGGGTTTCTGGCGCGTGCGTCTTCTCCACGTTCCTTCTGCCCCGCGGGGTCTCGGGGAGCAAGAGCGCGGAGGAGACGGGTGGGAGCGGAGCGGCAGGGCTGGGGCTGGGTGGGGAGCGCAGGCGGGCGGCTAGCGCGGAGCCGGTCTCCCGGCTTACGTAAGGCGCGAGCCCCGCGCGGCCGGCCGGGGCTCCGAGTGGGCGCCGCCCAGCGGGATCCGGGCTAGAAGCCTCTCGGAGGGCCGCGTCCCGGCCAAGGTGTGTGTTTACTTGACTTCTCTGGGTGGAGAGGCGCCGGACTCTGGCTCCTCACGGCGAGGAGAGCATCCCTCAGACCTCTGCGGAGGCGGCCGCTGCGACTCCCGGGGATGTGACAGCCGCCGGGGAGAGGCGGAGGCGCGGACCAAACGGTGCCCACGTGCGGGGACCCGGGTTAGGGCTCAGCCCCCAGGCCGCCGCGGCGTGGGGCTACTGGAGGCGCGCTTGGAGTCACCGCCTGTTCCGGCTGTCTCACTCCGTGGAGACTGGTGTGGGGATGCCCGACCCCTTCCTCGGACTGCGCGTGGGGCGCGAGATATAGGAAAGGATTGAGGTTGGGCCTGTCCGGGCTGATCCAGCTACGAGCTCCCGAGGGCTGCCCCCGCCAGGCGCGGGCGCTCGGGAGTTCTCCGGGATCGCAGAGTGGGGGCGTTGAGGGCTGGGAGGTGTAGCGTGGCGCTTACTCCGCCCTCGTGCCGCCCAGGCGCGGGGCGGAGGGGAGGGGTTGTCTCAAAAAGTCTCTCCTTCCCCTGCAGGGGCGGCGGCGAATCCCCGCGCGAGCCCAGGGTGTCAGAGGCAGGGGCAGAAGAAACAAAGTTCCCGGGGCTTCTCCGAGGCCGCTGTCCCGGTCGTCAGTTCGGCCTCCCCCTCCTCGGCGAGGCAATGGCTTCCAAACTCCTGCGTGCGGTCATCCTTGGGCCGCCAGGCTCAGGCAAGGGCACCGTGTGCCAGAGGATAGCCCAGAACTTTGGCCTCCAGCATCTCTCCAGCGGCCACTTCTTGCGGGAGAACATCAAGGCCAACACGGGTGAGAGGGAGCGGGGGCGAGTGAGCGGACGCGAGATCGGGTGAGGTTGGGAGGCGAAGGGCCAGCCAGGGGCTGAGTCTCTTCGGTCCCCGGGCGCCCTTCCCCCGCCCCCATGTGGTCGTGCAGGCTCCTACGTGCCGGGGCGCATGCAGCTGGTGGCCCGCGGCCGTGCGGCTTAACCGCGCCCGGGAGGAGGCCGAGGCTTACTGGGCGGAGGGTGGGAGGGGTGCGAGACTCTCCCCGCCCCCGGGGGGGGCTGCTCTTGCCTTGGCGAAGAGCGGGTCACCAGCCAGCAGATCGCGGGAGCTGAAAACCCCGAGCTTCCCTCTCGCCCGGCTTCCTTAAGGCCAAGCCATCCCACCGCTTGGCCGTCTCCCACCGGTTCACCGCGTCCCTGGTGACCCGTAGCATCCCCTCCTCTCGCCCGAGCCCCCCGGGCCGAGCGCCGCCCACCTGTGGGAGTCGGGCCCGGCCGCGCGCTGGGGAACCTGTGGCGCCGCGGGGCTCGCAGCCGCGCGCCGCTCCAGCCCCTCCACGCCTCCCGGGGCCTCTGGGCAGAGCCCTGGGTGGCTTTGAAAGGCCCGTCTGTTCCCTGCCGCCTTCTAAGGTAAACTCTCACCACTAACTCCCCCTCCTCCTCAAGCCGGGGCCTGAGCATTAGGAGACGAGGAGACTCGATTTGACAAATTACAGTTTGAATCCAGCCTCCCTGGAAATGGCTTCTTGAGAATGCCTCGCTTGGCTTGCGTGGTGAATTTGGGGCTACAGGTCGCCTGCTCTCCTTAGCCTGTCGGTGCGGTACTTCTCCCCTCTCCTCTCACCCCGCGTTCCCACGAGCTCATGATGAGTTGGCGTTAAAAGGCGAGAGAAGGTAGTTGGCCCTTCCGGGATGCAGATGCTCACAATTAGCAAGTCATTTATGAAAACTTGTTATTGCGAACGGGATGCTTAACTCTGTCTTTGTGTTCTCATCTGGTCCTAGATGGTTATAGCCTGTACTGTATCTTCATTACAGAAGCACAGATTAGTTTGACAGAGGTGGGTGGAGGACGGTGCTTGGAAAACAGAAAGCCTGAAAGCGGCGGGGAATTAAGAAGTATCTCAAAGGCAGAGTTTTACTCCTTATTTCTTAAAGCAGGTTTTAAGAGCAAACTTTTCTTTTGATTTTCAATAATCCTGTTCCCCACCCTTCAACATTCAGAAGGCTGCGCCCTCTATACCTGATTGCACCTGGAATTTTCTCTTGCAGGTATTGTTACCACAACTGGTCTATTTTAATTTGAATACCACATTCAAATGCATTTTACTCCTTCCCTGCTTGGAATGCAGTTTGGGTGGGAGGAGAACTGTGAGAGGGTAGGCTGGCTCAAGGCAAAGTTTTTGTGGCCAGGTGGGTTTTTGTGGGCAGGTGGGGCTCTCAGTGGGTGTAATGAGGTGAGGAAACTGCTGGGTGGCTTTGAGCCCATTTTTCTGCCTTCTCTGTGCCTGACTCGCTAACTTGCCTCCTTCTGGCTGAAGGCTTTGCACCATCCATCCTGGGGCTGGATTAGTGGCTCTTTCCTTTTAAAAGAGATGATTTACTTAATTTTTTTGGCTCTGCTGGTTCTTCCTTGCTGCTTGGGCTTTTCTCTAGTTACAGAGGGTGAGGTCTACTCTCTAGATGCGGCACTCAGCCTTCTCATCTGGGTGGCTTCTCTAGTTGCAGAGCGCTGACTCTAGGACGCCCGGGCTTAAGGTAGCTGCCATTCCCTGGCTCTAGAGCGCTGGCTCAATAGTTGTGGTATATGGGTTTGGTTGCTCCTTGCCTTTTAGAATTCTCCCGGATCAGGAATTGAACCCATGTCTCCTGCACAGGCAGGAGAATTCTACATCACTGAGCCACCAGAGACGCCCACTCTGCTTTTTTGAAGAGGATGTGATGGGAAGTCGCTTGTTTCTGCACTTTTTTAGGGGGTTTGAAAACTTTTCCACTTGCTGTTTTCCCTTATTTTGTTCATTTTATCTTTCCTTTGTTCAGAATTTTAGCCTCAGTTCTCTTTCAAGTGCCTTCATTTCCCTGCCAGTGTTTTCTCCCTGGAGTAAAAAGTGACTCTGCAATGTTTAAATGATCTTTTTCTCTTGGGAATCAAGTAGTTTATGCATGAATCAATTAAAAAAACTTAAGAATGGACTTCCTTGGCGGTCCAATGGTTAAGACTCCGTGCCTCCAGTGTAGGGGATGCAAGTTCGATCCCTTGTCAGGGAACTGGGATCCACTGTGTTGTGGGGCCAAAAACCCCCAAAAAACAAAAGCACTATCAGAGAAAGAAGAAGAGGACAAATAAAGGACAATGATTGTTTTGAAAGTGGCCTGTTTCTAGTGGACTTGGAGGGTGTTCTTGGGTTATTTTTCTCAGAAGGTATAAGAGTCTTAACAGGCTCGTTGCCTGGTAAATAAGAAAACATTCCACAGCATTAATTTTTCTGTTACTTGCTGTTTGCTTTTCACTAATTTCCTGGCAGAGAAGCACAATGACCACTCTGTAGGCACCCCTTTATAGTTGAAGGTTTGAAGGAGATGCTGAAGTGCAGCAAAATCCCAGGAAGTAAAACCTTGGTAAGAATTTGAAATGGAAAGTAGCTCAGGCCGTCTGCTGCAGCCTGCAGGATTGGGGCATACTCCTGTCCACATGGTTTTCCTGCAGTTACTCCCTGGTGAAAAGCTGCTCTTCCAGGAAACAACTCATTGCATTTGGGCAATTTTCCCTCACCTACCCTGGCAAAATGCATCTCTTTCCTCTGCACATAGCTTGTGAATTCTATTGCTGCTGTCACATACACTTCTGATGCAGTGCAGCAAATGTATTCTGATTTATCCAGTAGATACTTACTGAATACCTGCTATATGTCAGTGTTCTAGGTCCCGGGGGCTATAGCAGTATTTTTTTCTACCTTCACCATATTCCAGTTGCCTCTGAGAGACTTAAAGGATAGATCTGACAAATTGCCTAATGAATAAAAGGAGTTCAACAAGTCTGATGAAGACACGGTCATGCATTCTATCTACATCTTTCCCAGAAGAGTCAAACAGCCTTTAGCGATTAAGTCCATTCTGCTTAATTAACTCTGATTTGTGATAAAAGTTTGTGTTTACTATGGATCTCAGATGAGCTTTGTGATGTCTGTCACCCGTTGGCTCTGCCTGAAGCTCTGCAGGCTGAGACTTATCAAATATCTTATTTGAAGACCCACCCCCAAATTTTTGGCTTTTTTTTTTTTAGCATACTGAATGAGTAAATAGATGGGAGAGTTCTCTTAAGTTGCCAGAAGCTGGGATACTGTCATAAAAAATATTAGCTTTTGTGTGTGTGTTTGCATACATATGCATGAATGTGTGTGTGTGTGCATGTGCGCGTACACACACACACACACAGAGCTGGCACTCAATAGAGTTCTATTAAAATTTGGGACTTCCCTGGTAGTCCAGTGGCTAATGTTAATGCAAGTTCATGTTCCAAATTGTGCAGTGAGGCCGAACTGAAACATCAGAGTTTGGAGCGAAGAAAGGTGTATTTCGAGTCCTTGCTAGGAGGTGGCTTATGCCCTGAAAATCCTGGGACTTCCAAAAGGGTTTTTGCAAAGCATTTTTTAAGGGCAGCTGAGGGTACAGGATCAGCCAGTGCACAATTCTCTGATTGGCTGATGGTGAGGCAGCAGAGTGGTGTCACAGGGGTTAACCTTATTTGTCCTTAGGCTCCAGGAGGCTTGGGGCTATGTGCTCATGGTCCCCAAGTAGTTCTTTCATTTGGTGGAGTGGGGTTTCATATCTGCAAAGTAACTCAGGAAATTTGCATCAAATACTATTATCTAGGTACTTCAGAGAGGAGCTAAAGCAGAGGATATAGGAGAAGGCCTGTGGTTACGCTAAGACTGTGATCCCATCGCAGAGAGCCTGGGTTTGAACCCTGATCAGGGAATTAGAGCATGAATGTGTGTTAGTAACTCAGTTGTGTTCGACTCTTTGTGACCCCATGGGCTATAGCCCACCAGGTTCTTCTGTCCATGGAATTCTCTAGGCAAAAATACTAAAGAGGATTGCCATTCCCTTCCACAGGGCATCTTCCTGACCCAGGATCGAACCCGAATCTCCCGCACTGTGGGCAGATTCTTTATGGTGTGAGCCACAAGAGTCCGAATGCTGAAACTAAAAAAAAAAAAGAAAAAATCCCACATGCCTCAACTAAAAAGCCTCAATGAAGACCTGGCACAGCCAAATAAGTAAAGAAAATAAATACCAAAAACCACTATCCCTAAACCTTGGGACTTCCCTGGCAGTTCAGTGCTTGAAACTCCATGCTCCCACTTCCACTGCAGGGGGTGCAGGTTCAATCCCTGGTCGGCAATGAAAATCCCTCATGCTGCATGGTGTAGCCCAAAACAAACACCCCCCCCCATTTATATTTAATGGTACCTTCATTTGTTGAGTGATCAGTTACTGAAACCTCCCTCTGAAAGGTGTGAGGATCCTGTTTTAAGGTTTGTACTGGATCTACTATCTCAAGTGTAGGGAAATTGGAAAGTTTCCATTTGGAAGCATCCTGGACTTGAGAGAAAAGATGTTCAAGAACAAACCTGTTTCTGCTCTTAATTAATATTAACTGCAGCTCTTGCTGAGGTTTGCAGATGGGATTGGCATTTCAAATTAGTCTATGGGCTGAGCCTCTCCTGAAAAGATGATCTAGTTCAGAAGGTTCAGGTTTTTTTTTAAATGCTCATTAAGTATAAATGTGTGTCTTTTCTTATGTAAGAATGAAAACGGTTGACAATTGGAGAAGTTGTATGAAAGAGACTAATGTTCACCAATGTATTTAGAACAACATTAAATATTAATAGTTCATGTTTTTGGAGATCATATAAAGTCTTAGCTTAGTCTGCTAGTTCTAGAGTATGGTATATTCCATATTTTTTCCCTCATTTGGTAAGACTCAGGATGTAGCCTAGGTCAAGGACCTGACAAGTTT